CGCTCACTATAAAACTGGTAGAAAGGCAGAACTAGAACACAGATCTTTTCAAATGTTCTTTCTGATACATACTTGTAATATTCTCTGGTAGATGAGAATAAGACTTTGGTAAACAACCACAGTTGGGAGAACAAAGAAAAGCAAACAGATGGATCAGAATGGTAAGGGGAACAGTGAAATCCAAGAAAGGAAAGTTTTAAGAAGGGAGCAGTCAACAGTGTACTACTATGTGACAAAAAGGTCAAGTTGAATGGGAATTGAGAAAAGGCCACTGCATTTTGCAATGAGGTTATTAGTTACTTGGCAACAAAATGTTCTTTTTAATAGTACCTAATATTCCAGAATTCTCTAAAATGCTGCCCTTGGAGCCTTGCAATGGGAACACCTCAGACATATAATCCGCATATAATGAGATTCTCTTATTATTTCAGTAACTAAATTACCTTGAACAGGGTCCAAGAAGAACTGGCTTTATGTGAGTTTCAAATCTACAGTGACTCATGTTAGAGCAGGGTTCCAGTTTGCTCATATTCTCATCTGATCATATTTTATCAAAGTTCTTAAGAGACTAGCCACACTTTTAAAATTTATAGACTTTATCTCCTTTCTCTGAATTCATATGTATATAATCCAGGAACTTCAAACCTTTCAGCAGTTGGCTAATTGCAGCATAAAGCTTTTCAAAATAACATTACTAATTATATTGTACAGTATAATGAAACACACAAACATGGGGATTTGAAAATGCAAATGCCTATTTTTAAAATTCAATGGGTGATGATTTTTATGCAATTTTTGACACATTTATTCCCAATTCTTTACCTCCCATTCTAAGAAACTAAGTGGTATTAAGACTATCTGCATAATGAAAACCACATTATAATATAGAGAATCACGCAGCAGGATTTGTCTAAATGTAGGAATTTTCAGTAACAGCCATCTGGCAAGTAGTTACATTGAAATTGTATGGGGGATGTGCTATTTACATCATCTGTGTATCAGATGATCTACAATCTTAAAAAAAAAAAACATGGCTTTTTATTAGTTGAAAGAAAACATAGTTTTGTCATTTGCAGACTGAGTTCTGAATTTTTTCTTAATTCAAAGTTGCAAATTCAATCTGATAGGAAGAAAAAAAACCAAGAAAATGCACTCCATCTGAGTTTAATAGGCATAGTATTATAATGTTTGAATTTTCCACCTTACCAAAGCTATGTACATACTCAAGTATCATGTCACTATATAATACACAGATGTTTAACTGGCCTATGCATAGAGATTAAACTTTATCTAAAAACAGATAAAGATTAGAAACTCAATTTGGCACTTGAGACTACTGTTATTGGCACTCTATTACTGTAACGGGAACAATTCAGGCACCACTCTTCTCTCTCCACTAGAGCCTCTCCACGGCCCGGCTTCCTCTTGTCCTCATCCACCTGATCTTTTCCTTCCTTCATCTCTGTATAAGTCTTAAGCCTGTCAGTGACACTTAAACCTAATGAGGCTCTGATCCCTATTAATGAGAATAAAAATAGATCTTATATAACCTTGAAGATGTAATGAATTTCAAAACTCATCTTATATGCAAGTTTAATAAGGTTATTAGTAGCAAATTCTTAGAAAGCTTTTCACTAATGCTCTCTGCTCCCTTTTGTATATGTGCAACCAGCTCAAGCTGTCTTGAGTTCTCTGTGTACCTGGTTCATACCACACATGAACTCAAGTCAAGTAGAAGTAAACTAGAGATTCCATTATAGATTACTTCAGGGGCAAAGTTCAGACACCTCTGCTTACAAATGATGAGCAGTTCAGGGGTTTATCGTGAGGAGACTCCATCTGGATGTAATGAATTCTGTGGGAGCCTCCTCCAACCTAAATCTTGTCCTCCCTTTAAAACTCAGCTCAAACAGCACCTCCACTGTAGAGCCCACTCTGCTCTCTCCCACTCATCCTGATCCCCGCTGCCTCAGAACTTTGAGAAGTTACTGCCACCACTCTTTTAGTCCTTAATTATGTACCCATCTTTTTTTTTTAAGATTTTATTTATTTATTTGAGAGAGAGAGAGAGAATGAGAGAGAGAAAGCATGAGGGGGGAGGGTCAGAGGGAGAAGCAGACTCCCCGCCAAGCAGGGAGCCTGATGTGGGACTCGATCCCGGGACTCCAGGATCATGACCTGAGCCGAAGGCAGTCGCTTAACCAACTGAGCCACCCAGGCGCCCTATACCCCATCTTATACTGTTATTTAACATGTCATGCTTGGGACTTATTTTAAGGTAGATTTAAGCTCCTTGAAAGTAGGGCCTATGTCTTGGACATTTCTGTGTCCTCCCTAGCACAAGCGGTGACTAAATATGGTCAACTGTGGAAAGCATGAATTAGGCACCAAAAGAATGAAATACATTTGGCTCTGGAAAGTGATTATCCTCTTCCTCTAAACTGCTTTCATTTCTCCCACCTGCTCATATTACTTCTCATTTTTACTCCCTCCAGTTCTTGCCAGTTGTTAGCTCCTGAGGCAATCTGTAAATAAAACTCACTGTCCAAATTGCAGGAGCTGGAGAATGTCAAACATCACTTGTTTTGGCTTACAACTAAAGGCCAAGAGGGGAGAGGTACAACATCTGAAGGTATGTATATTTAATGTATAGGACGGGATCCAACAGAAGGAGGAGCTTAAGAGTATCTTCCAATGCCTCAAGAGTTCTTCCAACAAATAGGTCCAGATCATGTTACTGCAGATCTGCTTTTGGCTTTTAGCCCCTCTGATTTAGACAAACAACTGTGTTTGGCTACTTTCTTTTCTTTTAAAAACCACTACATATTGATTTTACTGCTGCATCTATTTCCCTTTTATGTGGTCATTTATTTTACCTACTGTAATATTTTATCTATCTCTTTATTCTTTGAAATGAGGAACAGGAAGTGAGTTAAGGAGATAGTTCTAAAGAGATATTCTGACCCCCAAAATGCAGGGGGTGGTTAGTAGGCTTTGGCTTCCATTTAAGCTCCTTGTTTGGTATCAAGGATAGGATCTTTATTCTAACACAATTATTCCCCTTGCCTCTAAAATCAGCTTACCAGAAAAAGCCTGACAGTGCCACAACCACCCTCAAACATCCATTGTTCCCTGGAAATTAAGCTAAGTAGCAAGCTGCTAATAAGCACATACTCTGAGGTTGCAACAAACAACCCAGAATGTCTGAAGGAACATACCACTCTTACACAAAATCGTAAAATAAATTTAAAAAACAAATAAATAAATAAATCATAGTAAACCAAAAGTTTTGGTGTTCATTAAGTATACTATTCACATTGTTCAAGTCTCTCAAGCAGTTTATACTATGTAGAAAGAAGCAAACATATTCTTATCAAGGAATAATTCTTTGAATTTCATTTTTTTTAAATTTCATTTTAAAGAAAAATCCAGTGTACCTGAATAGCCCATTAAACTCCTTGGCAGCGACATAATAGAGGGGCCATAATGAAATTATTATACCAGGCCTATTATACCAGACATTCTAAATTGCATGGCATAATCCTAGCCACCCTTTTCTAGCAAATAGTATTTCATTTTTATTCATGGGTTATTTTTTTTATCTGAAATCAAACTTTGAAGAAGGAAGGGTCAAAAATTCCACTCCTATTCCCAATCACCTGTGGAAAGAACGAAAATGATAGAGGCCTAGGGATTACACACTCAGTATAGGAAACTAAGTGAAAACTGAGAGAACTGTTAGAAAACCGGAGGAGTTGAAAGGCTGTGACTCCACTGTGTCTTCAAAATGGTCTGAGAAAATGATGTAATGATGATAAAGTCTAAATTACTGTAAGACTGCCTTCCAGGCTAGCCAATGCCATCTACTATATTTCTTTATTCATTCGACCATTCATTTATTCAACAAAAATATATTAAGCACCTTAATATATAAGACACCCTGCTATGGACTGAAAATACAGTGATGAATATGACACATTCATCAAACTCAAGGAAAAGGTACAAAAAAGAAGAAAAAAGACTTAATGATCTTTACGGAAAATAAGGTAACTCGTGTCTAGTGTCAATCTTTCAGTGAAATCTAAACCATTTTTTGGTACCTCAAATACCACTTTCTCATTAACTCAAATAAAAACATCAAAGATGCTTAATTTTCAACAGGTGCCTTTTTTTTTTTTTTAAGATTTATCCATTCATTTGAGAGAGAGCGCGCATACACGAGCAGGGGTGGGATAAGGGGGTGGTGAGGGACAGAGGGAAAGAAGCAGACTCCCCACTGAGCATGGAGCCCGATACAGGGCTCTATCTCAGGACCCTGAGATCATGACCTGAGCCGAAATCAAGAGTTGGACAACCGGCTGAGCCACCCAGGCACCCCAGGTACATTTTCTTTCCCGCAAGTGCCGACCCTGCACTTGCACAAATCTGAGAGTGAGTGCCTCCTTAAATTTTGTGCTCCAACTGCCTCACTCACCCTGGCCCTGCTCTCTATCTCCACATCCACTGTTCCATTAGGTAGGGAGCTATTTTTTTTAAAACCTTAGAAGGATTGTGCCAACAGGCCACTGGGATTTTTGATAAGATGCTAAGAAGAAATCTGATACAAATTGGCTTGAAGACAGACCAAGGCTTTTAAGACCCAATAGTAGATGACCGGCTACTAGATGGAGACAACACATCTGGGAACTCTTCTGACTTGCAGTTAATAACCACTTCCACTCATACACTCCCAGTTCACTGATGTATTTTTCCTCCCAATTTTCTGATGAGGGAATGTACAGACTATGCAAGAGAATGTCTAAATTTATGGAAAAATAAAATAACATGCATTTAAGAATATTATGGTAACTCTATTTTAGGTTTTTCCTAAGCTACCTTCTTTTAAACAAAAGGGACCCAAACATAATCCCTGTGTTTCTAGTGCATATGAATAAATGTGTCTACATAGAAATATCCAAATACACTCAGCAATCAGCAAATAAGAGTTTATGTTTGCCTACCTTCTCCTGCAAGAAGAGCAGCAATAAATGGGCAGACATCCCAGGATGATCATGCTGATCACACCAAGCCCAAACATCCGGAATATCTGTGTAGGCTCTGTTGGTTTAATTATATCCTGTTACTTTTATGACAAGCAAGAGAAGCAAATCTGAGCTCTTTCATAAAGTTTTTATTAAAAAACTACCAGTGAATAAAGCAAAATAAGGAGGTATTCTTATATGTCAGGTAAATATCTTTGCTACTCTATCAGAAGCAGGAGTTTATGAAATGTTCTTGAAATACAACTAAACACTACACTTGAAATACATGCCTCCCAAAGGAAGCCTTAACAAAATGATCCTACTGTTTTTGTTAACAGACTATTATGACTCATACTATATATTTCTTCCTATGGCCTAAGTGTTTTTTTTTCCCTTGGCCATATGTTATACATCCTCGAGCACTCAAGGAGTGAATTAATCTATGAATAGTTAACTTGTTAAAGGAATGGCTTCTTAAATGTTTACTTCCAAATTACAAAACATTAAACAAGAAATCAAGAATTTGCAGGTGAATAAGCATATTATTTATTTATTTATTTATTTTAGAGAGAAAAGGGAGTAGGGGGAGGGGCAGAGGGAGCAGGACAAGCAGACTCCACGCTGAGTGCAGAGTTTGTGGCTGGGCTCAGTCTCACAACCCTGAGATCAGGACCTGAGCCGAAACCAAGAGTTGGATGCTCAACCAACTGAGCCACCTAGGTGCGCCCAGCATATTTTATTCTTATATTCATTTGGAAATGCATTCTAATATGATTGGGGAATTTTAAGTCACGGTTCAATTTTTCCCTCTACAAAGACCAAATGTCTCTTCACACATAATATAAAGACTAAACTGATGAATGAATTATAAACACCATGTGACAGTGTTGAAATTGTAATACTATATTCATGATCAGGTTTCAGTTTCCGTTATTAATACTAGATGTTCAACAAAGAGCTGTAAATTGAATAGGGACTATATTAACCTAAGACATTGTTTTGCATGCATGTATCCTTTCTGTAGTATTTGTTAGTGTTTAATCATATCTAATATGTCCATCATGGGACCAACGGGTAATATGTCCCCACTATCCAAATGCAGGAGCAAAAACAGATGTTCTAGTCCTTAAAACTTTGTAAAGAAAAAAAAAATCTTAAGAACCTGATTCAAAAACAATAGAACAAAGAGAAACTAATAAACAAACCTTAACAAGGAACATTTAAGTCTACTGTTACATACTGAGATGTTGAAGACGAGATAAATGGGAAGAATTCTACTCAAGTAGGAAGAGAAAGTGAGAAGAGAAAAATAAGCTAAGGCATGCCTGATTGGTATTTTCTCCCAGGCACTAAGGGTTACATATCATAGAGTCTGGAATCTTTGGAAGAAGACAGAGAGTGACTAAAGCAAAAGAAAAGATGAGACTAATTTTGAACTGCCAAAGTCACATCTAAGGGCTAAGCGGAAACTGTTCATGAATAGAGGCCTGACCACCTCAGGACTTTTACAGACAGTTTTGCTCTAGGGCTGGGAGCCCCCTTTAAGTGTTAAGCTGGAAGATCCAAATTTAAATTTATGCCATTGTGACCTATTTATTTGATTTTTAAATATAGAAATATAATAAATGTAAGAGGACGAACTTACTATCTTCTAATGGGGCAAAGCAGCTGAAGTTACTGGTCCTGAAGGATGAATAACAGCATTTGTATTCCAAACATTCACTCTTGTTATAATCTTGCAGCTTATTGCAAGCCTCCACAACCTGATTCTCATTTGGAATGCATGCTTTTAGAAACAAAATCCAAGAAAAAGAATTCAGTATGGTTAATAAGCACTTTCCCTAATTAAATAATGACTGCAAAACAAAAAAAAAATTCAAACCGGTACATTTAAATACTGAATGACATACACAAATAGTGATGAATGCTAAAAAAATAAGAGTTAAGCTAAAAATTACCACAAAGTTACTAACATCACATTTTCAATTCTAGATGAACTGCAAAAAAATATAAATTGTTAACAGGTCATCGGTAAGGTAGTTTTAAAAGGACTATAGATCATAAGCTGAGTAGTAGTGATACAAATATAACACAGAAGGAGCTAAATAACAAGAAATATCAAATATCCTTAAAACTAACACCTTGTTAAAATAATACCATAGATATCCTCTCACTCAATTTTTCTAACCTACAGAAACTCACTGAATATGTCAATGAAAATGAATGTAAGTAAAAGTCACAGTTTATTGCTAGACTGTAAGGTAAGTGGATACTATTGATATTGACCTACTTTCTGTGAACACTTACCATATTGGCACTACAGTATGTTTTAAGATCCTTCCTTTTGGCCTTAAGTTATGACTCTATAATTTTGAATAGGCAATGATTTATAGCATGAACACCAAGGTTCATGCACTGCAATAAATCCATACATATCTGAATCTATAAGACTTGCAAGCTCATAAATAAATAAATAAATAGACATGCAAGCTCAAATAGCTGATTTTTTTAAAAACATTCTGCTTTATAAGAGAAACAAATGACAACCAAAAAGGCAGATATATTTTTATTCAAAAAGAAAACTTCCACAGTATGGCTTAAGGCCAGCATAGATTCAGTTCAACCTCCAACACTATCAACAACTACAGACTTAGAAAAGTGATAACTGATGTTTCATGATCACTCCAAAGAACTTTAATGTCAGCAAAAAACAATATCATGGTTACAGGCATATTTTTATCTCTTGGTATATTTTATTATATTCTCCTTTTTAAAGATTGGGAATTCCTAGGGGCACCTGGGTGGCTCAGTCATTGGGCGTCTGCCTTCGGGTCAGGTCATGATCCCAGGGTTCTGGGATCGAGCCCCGCATGGGGCTCCCTGCTCAGTGGGAAGCCTGCTTCTCCCTCGCCCACTCCCCCTGCTTGTGTTCCCTCTCTTGCCGTGTCTCTCTCTGTCAAATAAATAATTAAAATCTTTAAAGATTGGCAATTCCTAAAACTAAGGTAAAAGTAATAATAGCTAACATTCACTAGGCACCTATTTGGACCAGGTTCCTTGCTTTACACAGATTATTCCTAATTTTCACAAAAAAACTCTCAAAATGAGCTTTAAAACTCCCATTCTAGAAATAAAGAAGTGAAGTATCAAACACCTGTGCAAGGCCACAAACTTAATGCATTTCCAGTTGGCCTGGAGATTCGTTTCCCAAACATTTCAGGCATGTGAGAGTTTGGTCTACTTCGTTGTTATATACACTGGGCAATCTATTCTCCAATTCTGCCAGGCCCACAGTGACTTTCCTCCCTAGGCTGGACTGCATTGGGAATACCATGTTCAGTCCTAGGCATCACACACTCAAAAAAGGGTGACTATAGTCAGGGCCTCGTCAGAGATGGTATGGACTTACTACATGTTGAATTCTTCACTATTGGCATTGTTCAAAATCGTTCCAGGAATGGAAATCAAAGAAGAGATTTTAAATCACAGAAGAGCCTGGACTGGATGATCTCTAAGATCCCATCTAATGCTGAGCTTCTGTTATTTTATACTGAAATTGCATCTGATGGACTTTATGCCAGATACTAAAATTAACTTTCAGACTTAAATTACTGAGACACCTGTATTTTGAAGAATAAAAAGGGTAGAATAATTTTTATCAGGTTTAAGTATATAATTTTGTCCAAAGAGAGAAGGATCGTGTGACCTCTCAAGCTTCCCTGCCAGTCTGTCTCAAGGTTATCACTTTAATGCGCAAGAGATAAATCTTTTATGAACAACAGCCTGATGACAAAACGGCAGGCTTTTTTTTTTTAGTCCTTAAGTGGGAAGAGTGTTCCTTTTCAATTATACAGGGGAGGAAATAAATTGGTTAAAAGTATTTCACATTTTATGAATATGTAGTTATTCTTTTCAAAGAGATAGCATATATATTTTGTAAATATTTAATCACTGTTTTTGAAAGATTTGAATCAACCTGGGTCCAATGTTTCTCTTAAAATGGAACAGTCTGATTTTGTTGGGCATCTCATACAATTGATTTTGACTCAACTTACTGCACCAGGTTGAAGGAATATTTTGGAAATGCAGATATTCTTATTTAGACTATTTTTAAAGGTGGCTTCAGTGTTTGTATAATGCTATTAGAGGTAATTATGGGACAGTTTATGTCTGTTATCTTCATAAGCTCTAAAGTTTAAATCATCATTTGTTGTTGTTTATGACCAACTTTGGCACTCACTAAACCCATTCTTTTAGTTTCACAACATACCACCTTCTCAAATTTCTTTCTTTTTTCTTAAAGATTTTATTTTTATTATTTTTTTAAAGATTTATTTGTTTGTTTTAGAGAGAGTTTGTGTGCGTGAGCAAGGGTGGGGGGCAGAGGGAGAGGGAGAGAAACAAACTCCCCACTGAGTGTAGAGCCCATGCAAGGCTCGATCTCACAACCCTGAGATCATGACCTGAGCCGAAATCAAGAGTTGGACGCTTAACCAACTGAGCCACCCAGGCACCCCTATTCTTATTTTTATTTTTTACAGTAAACTCTATGCCCAACATGGGGCTTGAACCTACAACCCCAAGATCAAGAGTCATATGATCTACTGACTGAGCCAGCCAGGCAAACCCTCAAATTTCTCTTTCTTCACTCAACCTGACCATGGCAGTTTTTAAAATTTATTTAAGGGCCTCATTTATTTTGCTATTCTCATTAATAGTAGGTGTTATAATGCCTGTTTCATACTTGATGAAACCAATATAGAGAAATGTGAAGAGATTTATGCAAGATCACAGAAAAATTAAGTGGTAGAATCTGAAATTAAATAATGGATATAATTTTGTGCTTATATGTACATCAAATTTTGTTAGAATAAATTCTCATGGTTTTTAATAAAAGCTTCATCTTTGTAATTCACATGTCAATTTACTCGAAGATTCTCCTTGAAAGGGTACCACATGCTATAGAAAATGAAACATGTTTATTTGTGGTTAATAATTCTCAGGGGTCATCATGTGCTTGATAAACACATTATATACAGAATCACAAAAAGATGATGTGACTTGAAACCTGAACTTTTTATCATTAAAACAGGTGGGAAAACATCTGGTATATTCCATAACATCAGAGCCACACAGTTCCCTGGTTAATGCTAAAGAAAACATTGATTTCACAATCCTGGGTCAGTGACTAAATTTCAGGCAATGCCATTAAGATAAATTGTGAAAGGTTTAGATATTTGTGAAAGAAAAGTATTTCCATAAAGAGTAACAAACATTTATGAAGGTCTTAAAAGTACAGTCTCGGGTCATCCTCACAATTCTTCGTGGTAAATATTTTCATTTTAAAGATGAGGACACTGAGGTTCAGAGATATTACCTTGCCTAAGGCAAAGGGCAGAGTCAGGATTAAAACTCAGGTCTGTCTCACCCCAATGCCAATAGACCACACTGCCTCCGAAACATTTAACTAATCTTTTCAAAATGAGGACATTGGGAGGAAAAAAAATCAAAGAACTTACTTGTTGGAAAGAAAAAATTTAACAGAACTTCCCAAATGGATTTTTTTTCCAGAGATTGTCCATTAGCATTTTCACTGCTCCACAGAAAACGTTCACTTGGAGACGCAGAATTCGAGAACCCTTAAGAAAAAGTGAAATTATTAATCCCAACATATAAAGCATTGATCACTTTTTATGATCCTTTAATAGCAATTACCCTTTGCTTAATTTAATTAATTATGGAACGTCTAAGAGCTAACAGATATTATACTTACATCTCATAACAGCTTAGGTACTATTAATAATCAGAATGTGATTCTGCTGTGAAATTGAAAAACTAAGTATTAAATTTTTAAAAATTTTTAATTAAAAAATAATTTTAAAATGCTTAAGCCATAATAGGCTAACACATCTCATTGTTGTGCTGTAAACTGAATTATAATACTGAACTTGCCTCTGACAAATAGCATTAACATTCAGAGGCCCAATCAATTAACAACTTGGAAACAGTATGTATCCCAACTAAATTGGACCCCATCACAGAAACTCTTGGCAGATATTGATGGCTTATTTATTTACTGATAAAAATCAAGACCTTAGACATTGTAAAACTCTCCTTATCCTTCTTCCTCAATACTTCAAACAAACTGCTTTTAGTTTTATTTGCATTATTCCCTCTTATACAAGATGAAAGTATAACCATCTTTGTTCCTGTAGCATGATTTGTCCATATCATTCAATATTTTTCAACACTATCTTTAATAATTTCACAGTATTCCATTATATGGCTCTTTTACAACTGAGTTAACCATTCCCCCATAGAAAGACATTTAAGTTATTCACAAGATATTGGTATTATAAAGAACACTGCACAGAACTCATAGATACAAAAACAAAACAAAACAAAACTCATAGACAAAGAAGAGATTGGTGGTTGCCAGAGGCAGGCGGTAGGGGTAGGTGAAATGGGTTAAAGGAATCAAAAGGTACAAACTTCCAGGTATAAAATAAATAAGTTCTGGGGATGTAATGTACAGCATGGTGACTATAGTTAATAATACTGTATTGCATATTTAAAGTTGCTAAGAGAGTAGATCTTAAAAGTTTTCATCACAAGAAAAAAACATTTTGTAACTGTATGACAGATGTTAACTAGAGTTATTGTGATCATTTTGCAATATATACAAAAATCTAGTCATTATGTTGTACACCTGCAACTAATATAATGTTATATGTCAATTAGACCTCAATAAAAAAAGAAAAAAAATAAAGAACACTGTAATGATTACCACTGGAACTATATATTTGCAAATAGCTATGAAAAATACCTTAGGATAAATTATTAAGGAATGGCTCTTGATTTTGGCCACATCACCCTCCAGCAAGCCTGCCCGAAAGTATACTTCTACCAGTAGTGCAGACAAATACCAGTTTGCTTGCACCCTAGACTTTTTGTTGTTGTTTGCCAGTTTGATGACCAAAATAATGGTATTTCTTTTGTTTTAACTGCACCTTTAGTCATCAGTGAGCTTACATCTTTCATACATTTGTTGTATAGTAGAGAACTTAAGCTTTAGTCTGTCACATATGTTACAAATATTTTTCAAGGTAGTCAGCTAACTATATTTTTTATGATGTTTTGGGAAGTTCAAAAGTTTTAAGTGTTTTATGTAATCAAACGTATCAATCTCTTCCTTTACTATTTCTGCCTTTTGGGTCATGTTTAGAAAGACATTCTAAATTCCAATATTTCCTTCTAACACTTTTTTTAAAGATTTTATTTATTTATTTGAAAGAGAGTGAGTGAGAGAGAGCACAAGCTGGGTGAGGGGCAGAGGGAGAGGGAGGAGCAGACTCCCCTCTGAGCAGGGAGCCAGATGTGGGACTCCATCCCAGGACCCTGGGATCATGACCTGAGTTGAAGGTAGACACTTAACCAACTGAGCCACCCAGGCACCCTCCTTCTAACACTTTTATAATTTCACTTTTGGAATTTAAATCTTTAGTTCACCTGGAGTGTATTATGAAGTAGGGATGCCTTTTTTCTAGTTGTTCAAATACATTAAATCCATCCTTTCCTATTTATGATACCACCATCATATTCTAGGTCATTAAACAGTTATAAATCTGATTCTTGACTTTTCTACTTTGTTCCATGAATCTATGTGTTCATGCACCAATACCACCACTATCATAATTTATCTTACATTGTTATATGTTTTAATAACTGAGCTGGCAATCCTTTCATTAGTCTTCATTATAAAAATTTTATTCTTAACTCTGAAGAATTTTTTTAGATGAAGCTTAGAATCATTTTATCAAGTCAAAAAAATCTAATAATATTTTTATTTTAATTATGTTCACTTATTTGACATTTGTTAAAAAACATTTATTGTGTGTCTCATGTGCTAGGCATGAATTCAGTTATATGTCAACTGATTTGGAGAGAAGTGATAACTGTACAAAATTTTCTCACCCAATAATAGGTTTGTTTTCTCCACTCATTCAACTCTCTTCTTCTCTCCCTGAGTAAGGTTTATAGTTACAGTCATACAGGTCCCATACCTTTCTTACTACGGTTACTCCCTTATATCATATATATTTTGCTATGCAGATGTAATCTATTTCATCACACTTCCTAGCTGATTTACTGTTGGTATGTAAGCAAGCTACTAATTTTGGTTCATGTATATTCTAATTTACTACCTTATTTGACTCTCATTAGCTCTCCACTGTTCTTCAGTTTCATTCCAGATCTATACAATCATATTATCACTAAATATAGATGGTTTTGCTTCCTTTCTTTCCAATACTAAGAGCTCATTTCTTTTTCTTCTCTCACTGCATTGCTAGAACTTCTGAAGCTATGGTGAAAAACAGCTATGATAATGGGCATACTACAATCGATCCTGACTTTAATGGGAATGCACTAGTGTTCCATCATTAAGTATAACTTTGGCTGCTGGCTTAGGATAGATACTTTTTATTTTAAATTAATGATGCATCCCTCTAGTCCTGGTTTACTACAAATTTTCTGTTATTATTTTGTTTCATTTTTTTTGTGGTTAAAGGTCAAATTTATTAGGAGATTAAGAGATGTATTATACATGGACTATAAACACTGCACAGCTGACTTTATTCACCGTCAAGCACAGAGATATAGTTAGTGCCAGCCTATTTTGTGGATACTCCTGTTCTTTTGTTCCAAGAGAAATTCGCACCATAAGACTTGGACTTGGGTTTTGGAACCTTCCTCTCTTCAGTGTCATAGCTCCACACATTTTTTTCTGCAAAGGCAGCTGTATCTTCTTTAGTACTGAAGGTTAGAACCATGTTGGACAAGAGATCAGCCGTTGATGCCCAACCCATCAAAGGATTTTCCCATCACTCCCTGGTCTCAAACTCCATCTTCCATTATTTACTCCAGACTGCATGTTATTGTGAGCAGGAACAAAGATCCTGACTTTTCTGGTTTTGATACGCTCTTCTGGAACACCAGTTAAAGTAGTGATATCCAATTTTTCATCAACTGTTACGAGTTACATGTGCCGAGCTTGGTCCTGTGCCAGCCTCCATGTGGAAGTGCTTAACAACCTGATAGGAACCCTGGGAACGGAAATGGCAGCTACAGCCACTACTCTTTTCCCCCACAACATTTGCCTCAGTGCCCTATTTTGTTTCATTTTTAATCAAGAATGGAAGTGGGATTTTATCAAGTGCTTTTAATACTTACTGCCACAAGCATACTTCTCTCTATTAACTGTTGAATATTAATATATTTTCTAATATTAAAATATTCCTGCATTCCTGAAGCCCACAAGCGCTAACACTTTATGTAGGATTTGTGGATCAACATTCCTAAGTAAAGTGTGCCTGCATTTCCTTTTCTGCCATCTCTGTAGGTTTTGGTGTGGGGTTTATATTTGCTTCAAAAAATAATCTGGAAGCTTTCCATCTTTTTTTCTATACTGAAACAATTTAAACAGCATAGGAAATATCTGATCCATTAAAAGTTTGGGAAAATTCATAAATAGTCTGACTCTGTATTTTGTAGAGAATAGTTCCTTAACAACATTTCACTTCTTCATGCTCATGAGCCAATTTTAATTTTAATTTTCCTAGAAAATCATCCACTTACAAAATAATTATTAGGATAGAGTCATAATAATAGTCACTTATAATTTTTAAATCTCCTTTATATCAATGAAAATATCGTTTCTTATTTTAATGAGACCAATTTCCATACACATACACTTGAATGTGTGTTTTCAGCCTGTAGGGTACTTTCTTATGATATGAGATTTATTACATGAATATTAACTTTATTATACATGTTAAATCAAGCTAAAGTGTGTTATTCAAATGCTCAATATCTTTATTTTATCTGTCAAGGACTAAAAGATATGTATTAGAGTCTTCCGCCATGACTATGGTTTTGTCCATTTCTACTTGAATTTCTAAACCATTTGTTTTATGTATTTTAACACTATGCATAAACATTCATTCATTACAGTTTTACCTTCATTGTATATTACATATCTTGACAATATTTAAAATAACCCATTTTGTTCTGTTTGTTTTTCCTAACTCCTATTCATTCAATAGATATGTATTTAATGCCTAGTATATTCTAGATTTGGGGGGATACATCACTGAACAAATCAGATAAGAACCCTGCCCTCATGGGGCTTAAAATACTGTGGAGAAAACAGACAAAAAATAAGTAAACTAACAAGTTAAATAATTACAAATTGTAATGAGTGCTGTGAAGAAAGTGGATACCAGTACAGTTTAAGGTAAGGGACCTACTTCAACTAGAGGATGGCCTATCTGAGATGATATTTAAGCCTAAAAAAAGGATTAGAAGAAGTTGGGCACACAAAGGGCTTGGAAGAGTGCTTCCAGGACAGGGTACAAAAAATGAGATTAATATTGCCAGGCACACTTCAATAGAGTAGAGGGCTCACTGCCCTACACCATACAGGAAAGGAACTACAATTAGAAGTGGCTTTGACAGGACCAGAAACTGCCATTTGCTCACTTGGTGCCTCCCTTCCCAATTGACTGTCCTTGTCAGTGCACCATCTGAAGGAAGTATTGGCTGGCAGTAGCATACTGTGGCCTAAGTCTCCACTCTAGGTTATCTTCTATGGTGGTGTGCTTTCTGGAGTCCCTCCAGGACAGACACTGATCCCCAACTCAAAGTACCCTAGCCTCCAGCCCCTGCCAGATAGGCTTGGCCTAAGCCTGAGGTAAAACACATGTTGCTGCAACTTTTCTCAGTAGTGTCTGGCCTGGCCTCCTCTCTATCTTTCAGAAGTCCCTCCAAATTTCTGGCATGTTGATGGCAGATGGAACTCTTCTTGGTTCTCTTGGTTTTCAACCATTATAGATCTTTTGGTCATTTCTATGGGCATTTGAAATAGAGGAGGCAATTAAACATTTTACTCAGATAGGCACCATGAGTGGCAGCCTCAATCAAAATTCTCCAGTATAGGGCACCTGGGTGGCTCAGTCGGTTGGGCAGCTGCCTTCTGCTCGGGTCATGATCCTGGAGTCCCGGGATCGAGTCCCGCATCGGGCTCCCTGCTCGGTGGGGAGTCTGCTCCTCCCTCTGGCCCTCCCCTCTCTCATGCTCTCTGTCTCATTCTCTCTCTCAAATAAATAAATAAAATCTTTTTTAAAAAAATTGAAAAAAAAAAATTCTCCAGTATATTTAACCTGCACTCTACCACTGGTTTCTTCCCTACAATGAAAGATAATTATTTACAAATTACCTTGAGCAGTATTTCCCAAAGCATTACATGAGTTGATTTTAGGAGGAACACAGTTGAATATTTATGGATTTATTTAGTTTTTGCTATTTATGTATTTACTTTAAAATTATAGAAAGAAATATTTTTGATTGTTTATCTCTCTCTTCCTCTCTCTCTCCACATATATATGTATATATGTGTGTATATATGTATATGTGTGTGTATATATATATGTGTGTATATATATATATATATATATGACTAGGATATCAAAAGTACCATGACACCAAACAAAGTTGACATAACTCACCATATGGCAAACCTTTATAAAATCCCCCTTAACATCTCTGTTCTTTCTTCGCTGGGTGCAATTCAACTGTCCTTTCCTCTCTCCAAAATCTCCCATCAGCCCTCACCCAAGTCTTCTCAGTCTTCTTCACTCTATTAGGTTCCAGACTCTTTCCCCTCCCACATTGCCCTTTTCATAGGCACAATAACTCCATCTTCTGCCTCTAATTTGCATCTGTACATTCATTAACATGCTCAGCAAACAAAAGATTAGGAGCCAGCTTCCTTAAAAGGCAGCAAGAAATGGTAAAGAACCAATTATGCTTCCCTGTCACAAAGAATTTTATTTTTTAATTTCCTTCTTACAAAAAAAGACTGAAAATCTAACTACATTTCAGGAAAAAAAAAAAAAAAAAAAACCAGACTCAATGCTACAGGCTCTATCGGTATGAGACCTGTGCAATCTACAGAGTCTGGCTCTTAGAAGGACCCTACTCTTGCTATCATCTTGAAATGTATAATAAATTTTGAACAAGGGACCTTGCATTTTCATTATGCGAATTATGTTGCCAGCCCTGCTCTGCAGGGAGGTCTCTCACATGAGGAACTGGATTAAAGAGTGAGGAGACAGAATGGGAGCAGTGGCTAATGGTAACATGTTAGAGAAGATTCTGCTGGGACTTTCATAGTTGAGGGTCAGTCTTTCTGGGCTTTGGCCTCAAACAGACCTGAATTTGCATTCTGGCTCTGCTACATAGTAGTTGGTGAACTTCAAATCAGTAAACTTCTCTTTGCCTCAGTTTATTCATCTGCAAAATGGGGATAATACTTATTTTGAAGGACTGTAAGGATTAAATGAAGTCATAAATGAAGTGCTTAGTACAATGTAAAATGAGTAAATATTTTGTCATATGTCCTTCATTGTTTATTTTTATTGCTTATAATTTTAAATTTAATAACATTACTTTGTTTTCAGGATATTTATTTTTATAAATAATTCTCTTAATAGCAAATACGACCAGTTTTCAATTTATAATTGTGCTACAGTTTCCTTTTAAAATAAACACATTTATGTAAAAAAAGTGGGGCAGTTTAACAAAATACGAAGAACATTAAGATAATCAAGAACTGTGCAGGTGTTACAAATGACTGAGGCAGGAGAAACACTCTAGTGAAATCTCAATCTTTAGACAAGGTAACTGAAACCTAAAGAGGTAAAGTGACTCATCAGAGGTCACACAGCATGTCAGTGGCAGAATCAAGACAACTTGGGTCTCCTAACTCCTAATTCAGAGCTCCTCCAACCACACCACATGCACAAATGGTTAAGGCAAGAGCAAGCTTGGTGCTTAATGAGGTACATGGCAGGTAGCCAGACTTTCTTTCAATACGCACTGCCTCATTCATTCCCCAAGGATAGCAGATAAGTATTCTAATATAATAATACAGAAAATAGTCACATGGTTTTGTCCATGGAGCTAAAGTATTTTGAAAATATTACCTGTTAGTCTATCTTTATTTGTTTTATTTTTTTAATCTCCCCTAAAAAAGATGTGCAATGAGGGCTGATTCAACAGGTTACAGAGAATTGGTGGAATAAGTGGGATCAAACTCCCAGTCCTCAATCTGCTAGTCTCCTCATCCTGTATGCCGCTAGTCTTTATGTCTTCTACATAAATATAACCTGAAAAGCAAAGTGGCTTGGGAGCCCAAATGAAAATACAAAACTAGAGATATCCCAGAGCTACC